TGTGTGTGTGTGTGTGTGTTCCAGCGATGTTATGTGTTTATGAGGGAAAGGGAGGGGGACTTGGAGCGAGAGCTTGTGAGTTTTACTAGAGTGGAATAAGCAGACTGGGTTGGGGGGTAATGAGATGCTGCGTAGGTGTCTAATGGGATCTCCTGTCTGATCCGATCCAGATGATTGATTATCAATGAGGATAAAATGAATAAAGTGGAGATTGTTTTTAAGCTGCATCCCTTCTCACAGTTTTGTTTTTATTTCCCTGCCCACTCCACTGATTTTTACACATAAACCATTCAGTTAATTGAGCATTGTTATGTGTGTGCTCTTTTACAGGCTGAAGCAGAGTAAGCCAACAGCCTGGTGTGTGTGTGTACGCATGTGCACGCATCAACACGTATGTGTGTGTGTTGTCTTGTTGGTATCAAGTCCTGCGGGTTATAGAGCACATTCTTCCATCATTTCATGGTTGTTATGGAAACAGCCAAAGAAGCAGAATGCAAAAGTGTGTTTTGAAAAGGACCTTTAATCGAGCGTAGACTAGCAGTGATTATTCGGTGTTTCAGTCTTTCACAAGCTCATCTCCCATCAGAAGATTTTTTTTTGTCTTTTCTTTTATTTGGGTCCCGGAAACAAAGCTAATATCCAGAATGACTTGGTGGGTGTTTCGGTGCCAACAGATCTCTGTGTTACCTCCTCACCTAAGTGGGTGTTGTAACATGTGGAGAAGAGTCGGTATCCTAAATCGACTCAGTTGTTCCTCTGAGTGTTTAGAGTGCTGCAATGTTCCTTCTTGTAGGCGGCGTGCGGGGCTGGTTTAGGCTTTTAGTGTGTGCACAACCGGGAGCTTTAAATCAGACTGCAGGAATCCATGATTCAGAGTCCGACAAATCAGGTGAACTCAGCAACATAGATACAAAAGGCCACAAGTAGATGTGCTTCTAAAATGAAGCATGTTGCATGTCATTTTTTTAAATTGTGAATTCTTCATGTGGATTGGCTAGGGATGAATAATACAAACAATATTAATTATATTAATATAAATTATTTCAACGTATACTTTTCCTCAATAGAAAAATAACAAAGGTCCAATATACTGTATGTTGATAATGTTTAAGAGCAGTGAGGATGTACAACAAATAATAAAATCTCAGGTTTCTGTTCTCAGGCTGTTTATAAAGTTTTTCTCATCATCTGCTCAGAACAAAGCGTTTAAAACCACAACCTTCACTCAGGCTCAAAAATCAGTCGTTAAACTTAAAATAAACCACATTAATATAAATCTTGACCATATTGCCCAGCCTTACGTTCTGGATTTGCTCATCTACTGAAATCCACTTCATGAAAACAGCTCAATGGACTTGCACAAGTAGTAAACAATGAAAAATGCAACAACAAAAAAATAAGAAACTATAAAAATCAAATTAAAAAAAAAACCTCAAGCTGAAGCAACACAGAAAGAACGTCCGTCGGGGATGCTTTTATTTTCCTGTGGAAAATACACATTTACGTGTTTCTGTTCCCTCTGAAATGTTTCCAGTTATGGCGTAGTGAAGTTTAACAGCCATGCACAGTAAACAACAGACATTTCTTTCAGTCTTTCATTTCAACAGGTTCTTTAGAGACTCGGTTGCCTTGAGGCTTCTTCCTCTGACAGTTAGAGGGAGAGTGAGGATTCTACAGTAAATAAGCTAAATCACATTCTGAATTCACGTAACATCACAGTCCAGTGATACAGAGTGAAACCACATGGACATGGAGGAGTGTGGATTTCTTTCTTTTGCTCTTTAAGACGACAGCTGTTATTGAAGAATAAACACTGAACTCACGTCTCCTGTGGATCAGCTGTCACTTTGGAGAAAGATTTCTTACTTCTGGAGGTTTTGTGTGACAGAGTCATGATTTAACAGAATATTCAGACTCCATTAAAACATGGTGATATAAGCCTCCTTAAAATCAAGAAAGCCTCAACACATTTTTTCATGATTATTATTTTTTTCATCAACATCTATTAATTATTCCCTGGTAAATCTGTGAACATGCCATAAAACACCCGATCTCTCAATCTTAAAAAAAGCGATTCCTGGATCTGCCCATTTGTCTGGATTTACAACAAACTGAATTGGTTCTTCCTTGGCTCAGGTCCCCTCCCCTCCACCAAGTTGCGTGGAAATCTGTTCAGCAGTTTTTGCGTTGGCCGACCGAACAACTGACAGACTGACCGAAGAAACGAACGAACAAATGGACAGGAGTGAAAACACAGCTAAGAGATCAATCACAGAGGTATTCATGAGTGTTATACAAACACTTGAATGTGTGAGGTGATAATAAACGGAGACTATTTTCAGAATCGGTTTGTTTGGTGGGAAAAAGGAGGAGAGCAGCAGGACACCCAGATGGTGGAGGGTTGTCGGGTTTCTGCTGCACCCCCCTCGTCAGGGGTCGGACATGTTGTGCCCCTTTTTTCATCTGATCCTGTTCACCCTGTATGCCATGCAGTATAGATCCAATGTCATAATTTAGGTACGCACACGCACGCACATGCACACACACACGCTATAAATTGGCTAATGAAATGCAGCAGCATGCCTGCCACACCCCTCTCCTGTCTGACGTGCGGTGTATCCATAGTAACTCATAGCGCTGCAGGGTCCTGTTGGTGTTTCATTGATAGGTTTTATGCTTAAGGTCAATAAGGACGGGCAGAGACAGATTTGGAGGTGAGAAACACTGACTGGCTGAGAGATGTTGCATCTGTGATCCAGCTGGAGCAGAGTTTTTATCAGATGAGTCACAGCGTCTCTCTGTCGCTCCGCATCAGAGGAACGCTCAGACTGGCTCCGAGGCTCGAGAAGGATTCAACATGTTGTCATAGTATTTTTTTCTAGTCGACACATATTTATTGACATGGACACGACAGACGGCAACATCAGGTAGCTTTGTTCCACTGCTGCTGATTTTGTGCCACTGGCTTTAAATGTTCCCTTCACCGGGAATTAAGTATCATCAATCATAATTTTTCTCATCACACAGGATCTCTTGCAAGTCTTTTCCTAAACGTCTCTTACTCTTTTATCACAAGTTTCAATGAACTCTCGCAAACTCTCACTAACTTCAGCGTGATGACTGCCACCCGTCGATGATGAGGTGAACGTTGTCACACTGAAACTCAAATTACTGGATTTAGATGAAATTTGAAGCAGGAAGATTATGAACATGTGTTATGAAATGTTCCCTAAAGTAACTTTACCCAACTCAATTATTAGTTTATTCTGGTGGATTAATGTTCAAGTTTCTTGCATTTGCGAGTTAATCAAAACCGATTTCTGTGATCTGAGACAGAAGATACATTTTTACTAACTTTGTTTAACTAACACGCACGCACGCACGCACGCACGCACGCACGCACGCACACACACACACACACACATTGACTTACATTATTTTCCTGGGGATTTAATATTAAATGTTTAGGATTTGAACTGTGATTTTGACCCATACAAGCACAAACATGGTGAAGTGAAAGAGTAGATTCTTTAATTTCTGTGAAACCTGTTAAACCGTTTCACTTTCACCTGTGAATTAGTGCTTTTTATTTCTGTCCTGTTTTGTGTGGATTCTTTTCTTTTGGTCCCTAGTGACACATGTAAAGTGTCCTTGGGTCTCTTGAAAGCCGCTACATAAATTCAAGTTATTATTATTATTATTATCAAAAGCTTTGGACCAAATTGAGCACATCAGTGGGAGCAATGTCACCCTCCACAGACGTATGCAAAGTATGCTGCCTGTACACCCACACAATCAAAGGGAAGGAAAAACACAGATCACACTGTTTCTGCAGACTCTTGACAATGAGTGGCACAAGGTCTCTTAATTATGTTCATAAGTTTATCATGATTGTTGTTATTATTAGTTGTTGGTCGTGTGTGTTTACTGAAGTCTTTGTCCACTACATATGTGCATTCTGCCACATCCCTACGTCAAAGCTTGAGTTTGAATCCATGATCGCCAAAGCAGATATCAATCCTACAATAAATACTGTTATTACTTTTAACCTCTGGCTTGTGTTTCTTCTTTTTTCTGATTGGTCGTCAGGATGGGGGCCTCAGACAACATCCTCAAAGGGCGCAGTACGTTTATGGAAGAGCTGACCGAAGCCTCCGAGATCATTTCCCAGGCAACCGAACGTTCATTGGTCATCCTTGATGAGCTGGGACGGGGTACGAGCACCCATGATGGGATCGCCATCGCCTATGCCACCCTGGAGTACTTCATCAGAGATGTAAGTGTGTTGTTGTGTGTATGTTTGTTTTAGTTTACTGATATGTGTTTCTTCATTTTCTATATTGCGATCCTGCTAAAACCAGTTCTACCAGATGTCATCTGTGTCACTTTTCACCTCTTTACTTGATACTGATATGGAAATATGATAAGACATAAGACAGATTTAGATATTTACATGTACAATATGTAGCTTCGATCACCAGGGGTTTATCAATCAAAACTATAACAAAAGACCTAATTGATGATGTCGTGAAGCAGCGTGGGATCATGGGAGTAGTTGTGTTAAAATCTATAGACGGGCAAAGCCAAGGATAAAGAAGATACGATGCAATTAGAGGCGATCAAAATGAAACAACCTGTTATGTTGAATGAAATTGAGGATTTTGTTTGAATATTGTTGGAAACATTTTGGATGAGTCACCAAAATATATTACGTAGGTCCAGTTGTTTTTTTAAGACATTTTAATAAAGAACTGTTACGTATTATATCTTTAAGAGGGAAAGAAAAAGAGATGGTGGGGAAAAGAAAAGCAGCATCAATGGGACATTTTAGGGCATGAAAACCATGCTGGTCAAACACACTCTGGAATGTAAAACAGCCCAGTTAGCCATCAAATTAGTGGCTCTTAGTGAAGAGGTGTGTGCACATGTTTCTATTTGTGCTCGATTGTATGTGCTTCTGCGCTCTTCAGCCACGCTCAGTTCTTTTTGCAGAGCGAAACGAGCCACCAGAGAGCAGCTGCAGCAGCAGAGCAGCTCTTGAAAACTGAGCACAATTGCAGAGAGGCTTGATCTATAGCGTTAATAACCTATTTGAGCGCAGGATACATTGGAAAAAGAAAGAGAAAGAAGAAAGATTGACCCCTAGATACCTAATTGTTAAAGGGATGTGCTACATGCTGTACTGCAGCAGGACTCATTGTATCCCTCATGTAACACCCACACACTCAAGGATGATGACAGGCTGTTCAACGTCCACCTTTGAGCTTGAAAAGGAAGATATGTGTCGATATGCTTCGTAGCCATAATAACACGTTTCCTCCACATTCTTGTCAGCTGTCAGTAAAATGATGTGCATGGAAAAAAGAAAGGGGCAATTTTAGTCAAAGGGAGGAGTAAGAGAAGCGACAGAGCTGGAAAAATAAAGAGCTTTGCAGTGCTCGGTATTCCATTGAGAGAGATTGTGTGTGTATGTGTGTGTAAATGTGTGTGTTAATGTTGTGGGGACCTAAATCTCTTTACACAGTCACACATGAGGACATTGTGCGGACAGATATCAAGTCTCTGTAAGATAAATCTTTAAAGGTTGGGGTAAGGTCAGGCTTTCCTAATATTAAGTCCCCAGGAAAATAATGTAAGTCAATGTATTTTTCCCTGAAGTCATGGAAATACGGCTGTGTGTGTGTGTGTGTGTGTGTGTGTGTGTGTGTGTGTGTGTGTGTGTGTGTGTGTGTGTGTGTGTGTGTGTGTGTGTGTGTGTGTGNTGTGTACAAAATGGAGGATATATCAATACAAGCATTGCCAAGTTAATTTGTGGAGAACTAATTGTTCTGTATACTTGTATGTACCAATTTATGTTGAAATACTGAATCAATACTGTGAGCACAGAAAACTCATTATTTAACGTCGACATGGCTCCGTGCTTTAGGTTGTAAGGAGACGCTTCCGTTCACGATCTCAGCTCTTATAACAGTGAGGTTTTTTTTTTTTTTTTAACATGAGGCTTCCTGTCTTTATCAATGTGACAATTAACATCCTTCCCATGTGGATTTGTATCTCTGCTGTTAGATTAAACAGCATTAAAGCATTTTAATTAATGGAGCAAGATTTTTCTTGTGATGAAGAATGTGGCTGTTCTTTCCGTTTTAGTGTCGTAGATCTGAGGCTTGAGCATATCACATTTACATACCTGTGTATTGTGTGGGCAGCCATCCGGCCACATGTTCTTCCTACTTTATATCATTATTGGCATCAGCCCCCAAAAATCCATATGGCCCAGGCTCTGGTCTAGATAATGATACAGTGGTGATAAGTGGTATTTATATAGAGCTTCTTAACGATCATTTAAAGCACTAAGGTTGCATTCAACCTTTCACACTCACACATCACTTCTATATATAGTTTTTCTGTATCACACATACAATCAAGACACTGAGGACACAGTTAAGGGTTCAGTATTTTTCCCAAGGACGCTCTGAATAGACGAGTCAGTGATTTATCCACCAACCTTCCAAACAGCGGACAACCCGCTTTACCTCCTGAGCCACAGCCGTTGATATCGCTAATATATGACTCAAGTTCTACAATAGAGTGTAGTCAGCAAGACCAGATACACACGACACAGACAAAAAGTACTATAATCTAGTGTGTATGTTTGTGTGTGTGTGCAGTGTAAGTTCTCTCTAGGCAGTAGCCTCTCTGGGTAGACAGGATTTATCAGAGTCAGTTTGTCTATGCTGACCTCAGGAATCATGTATTTAATCTTGCACTTGAAGAACTTTGTTTTGCAGGATAAACAAGCCACCAGCTGTTTATCTGACCGCCGGTGACTTCGGGCGTCCTGGTGTTAAGGAAAGGATGAGCCTCATGTTGTACCTCCCGAGTCGGTCCACAGTGACACATTCCTTCTGTGGGTTTCTGGAGTTTTACCATTAATACAATCCACTCCAATTTCTACCATATGTGAAGTCGTAGCTGTGTCCAATAGAAGAGATCTGGTATTTTGGTGTTTGTTTACATTCTGTTTTCCAAGACCTCAATCAAAAAGCTCCAAATTACCCCGAGTTACCCCTGTTCAAATTTAGGCGAGTAAATATTTATTTTCAGCAACCTTCTTCCAGTTCTAATGTTTTGCCAGTATCACATTAATTTTTGGACTGAATCTTTGGCGTTATGTAATTCTGCTGGAAAGCATAGAACGAAGATGTGTAAGAAGCATGAAGCAGCAGGCAGCTGCTGCTGGCATGAGGGGGGAGCCGTCCAACTACCTATTGTATAACAGCATTGATTTGTTAGAAAGGCCTTGCTGTCAAAGGAAAGACAAATAAAAAGAGCACAAAGTAAGTTATCCAGGATACAGGCAGACCTGCAGAGTCTTTAATGCTCCCTCCTCTTCCTCCTACTCTGTCCCCTTCCTCCTCTGCCATGTTGCCTTCTTCCACCTCCTCCTCCTCGCCAGACTTACCGCTCATGTCAGAAGTCAAGACTAGTTTCTCTTTGACTCGGTTGTTATTGTAACGCACCTTCCCCCCCGTCCCCCAGCACTCACCTGGGAGGTAGTTAAGAATGTAGATGGGTTTTGTAACACCACTCAATAAAAAGAGAGACAGCCTTGGCGCAGCAATAAAAGAGAAACAGAGAGGCAGACGAGAGAGGATCGCTTCTGCTAGAAGTTGGAGGGTGAGATCACGGGCAGCATCAGATTGGTTCAGTGCACGCTTATATAATTTACTTTTTACCTCATGGTCTTTTCTAGCCACCACTGCTCTCACTTTTATTCGCGCTAACAGCAGGTCCTGCCATTAGTTTCACACTTAACTTAGCACGACACACTGCGATCGTACCATGACTCAGACTCTTGAATACTGTTCTGTAAGAGTAGAGTACAGAACACCCGGCCCAGCTTTACACTACAACACACTAAAGCTCACTTTTTTGGCTCCCCACTCGTGGGTACATTTCCAGAAGAATGTATTGTTCCACGTGGGCGTAAATGGTCCGATGCGCTGATGCACAAAGCTCCTACGAAGACCCACGTGTGCTCCACTGCACTCTCGTCCCTGTACTGTACTCAGACGCGAGATACTTGTCTGTTTTCTCTTGACTCGCTGTGACTGCGTTCCTTTCTCAAAATTTATAGCTGTAGTGTTTTTGTTTTGTGCAGTGGTTGCCCAACATGTGGGTCTGGACTGCAGAAAGGGTCTCGGGATAAAATATTGATGGGCCGCAAGATGATGCAAGGGAAGGAAACCATATTTCTGTCACAAAAGTATTTTTTTTATTCTTATTTTTTCTTTGTCAAATACGGGATATTTAAAAATACTCCACATGAAAGTTTTTTTTTCCCTAATCAAATGTATGGTCTTCTGGGACAGAGTTAGTCAGATTTAGCAAAAGTGTTGACACATTATTTCTCCTCACATATGAAGTTTCAAGACTCATTTATGCTCAATGTTTGATAGAGTACTGTCGGTACGCTGCGTTTGTTTTCCCTGTGTTTGTGCACGTCTCCTGAAATCTTACAGATACAAACAAAACAGAGGAAATGAAGCAGTACCACCATCTGTATTTGAGCTCGTGTTCTGAAGGTTTACAGTTCTGGATGAAACAGAGGAAATGGAGCAGTACCACTAGAAATCGTGTAGCCGACAACAGGACATGAGGAAGAAATTTTAACCATGTCAGAACTTCTTTGTTAGTAAGAAACTTCAGACATCTTTATGATGTTACTTGGCCCATTTACAACACATCTGCTTTTGTATTCATCTTTACATTATCACAACCTCCTACATCGCCGCCATTTTTGTTGTTGTCAGAAACTCCTGAGCTGCCCTCTTGTGGATGTCTTGCTAGACAACCATGCCGGTGTATAGGACGCATGGAAGTGTCTGAGAAGTGACGGCTACATCGTTTGAAACGGACTTATCTCTTTGCGTAAACGCAGCATTAATGAGCCTTTACTCCCAATGACCTGGATCTTTATCAGTCTTTCGATACAACCACAGTATATGAACACAAATACTGAGCCAAGACCAGCAGCTTGTGGGGGAACATAAATAGACTTCATTTTTAAATAAGCCAGTTTGACATTAACCAGAACGGAATTAAAAGTAACAATGTCATATATTTTCTTGATTCAGACCAAATAAATCAAACCACAGGTGTGAAGTCACCATCTTTAAAAGAATTTGCTTCAATATTAGAGGCAAAACTTGACATCAAGGAAAGGTCATCGCCCAACTTTGACTGACCCTATTATATTACAAATTGGACTCACAGCCTTAGTCAAAGGGTAGTAACACACACACACTACCTTGTTAGTTGAGAGGTGAGAACACAAAGGGTGTTGAGTTAGAATTGGATTCTTGTCGAACTGCCCAAAGAGAAGTGAGAAGACGGAGACATCGATAATAAGGTCGACACCTCCAGCTGTTCCTCAGGTTGCGTTTGACAACATGTCATGAGAGTAATGATGCTCTACAGGTGTACGCTGGAACACGCACCATGACTTATCGTTGAGAACAAGAAGTAGTGGACAAGGTGGCACGATTCAGAGAAAGTGTATATCTGTGTCATGTGACAGATCAGTTGCAGAGAAATGAGTCGAACCGCTTGAGTCGATCACGCAGCCTGTCCCATCTTGAGCTGGCCTCCTTAGAGTTGAACCGCTCCAAGCTTCCCTCTATCTGTTTACAAATATACAACAGATTTTAGTTTACATTACCGGTGGTTCCAACTTTTTCAAGACCCAGACTCCAGTTCTCATAGCCAGAGAGGATCAGAACTGTTCCCTGCCTCTCCCATCGTCAATATATTTGTGTCTGTATAGTCATCTCAGAATACTCGGACCTTTTCCTCCACTCAGTGTGTGAGTAACTTAGGTATGTATGTCACATGCCTGTTTTCATACAGCTACAGGAGGAATGATGACAACATGTGGTAAATTGTTGTAAAGATTTGTTCGGCAAATGTTGATATCGCAAGCTTTGCTGTGGAGCAGAGCTAGCATGGGCTAATGGCTGTGGCAGGATGTTTTTCTCGTTGGTTCTTGTGAAGACACGCTAACTTTAAACAGCTGTGCTTCTTGATGTGCGTTTCTCGGATTGCTTTCGCAACAACTCTGAAATATTTTTGTTTGAGATTCTGTTGCTTTTGCGACATCTAGTGGAAGTGAATACTTATATGTCCCTTAAAAAATAATCTACATTTAAAAAAAAAAAAGCGATGTTGATGTGAAGAGGCAAAGCTCTGTAGAATTATAAAATGACTTCTGTTTTGGTGTCTTTCAACAAATGTTTTAGTTTTTTTTGGCCTGTTTCTCTGTTCTGTCCTGTTCTCCCCAAGTGGCCAAAAACTTAATTCCTGATTGGATTATTCTTTGATTAACCAGCACTTTTTTACTTTACATAAATTCATATATGATGAGAAATGCTAAGTAGCAGATTCTAGAATGTACCTGCATATTCATTGAAATAAACACTGTATACGTGGATGTATAAGATTATTGCTAATCGTTTCCTCACTTTAAAATAACTAAGTAATTTGATCATCAAAATTGCCTGTTACTAATCAATTAATTGGCTAATTGTTTCAGCAGTAATTTCATCAAATTGTCCAACTCTGCTGAACAAGGCTGCCACTGGACCCTGGGGTGGTCCGGTAATGAGCTCCCATTAGCAGCTAATCAGACCATTATCATGGGTGCAGCCTCCCTCTGCCATCCTCCGTTTGCTTTAACTTTTCAGTGTAGGTGGACAGGAAGGATTGAGGCAGCTGGTGCGTGTGCGTGTGTATGTGTGTGTATGTGTGTGTGCACTTATGAGCTTGTTGTGTGTGCATGTTTCAGCAGGTGCAGCTCTGTGTGTCTCAGTAAGAAACGTGGGAGTGACCTTGCATGTCTCTTTCAGAGGGAAGTATTACTCGTGACATGTGACCTTTCTCAGACCGAGCGGTTAGCGGGCTGATCCTCGAGTTAGCCGAGTCCTGCAGCCGCCTGTCTGCTGCGATGATGTAAGACTCAGACCTCCTCCTCCGCCATTAGAACTCCTGTATGATTTGTTATCATTACGATCGTGGACTTTTTAGTGCTGCACATATAATTGTTTTTCAACAATTTGTCATAAACGATTTAAAATACGTGTGGGAGAAGATATATACACAATGTTTTGCTCACCCTGCTCCATTTAAGTGACTAGGTTGTTAAAGTAAGCAGGAAAAGGAAGTGCTCTTGTTTTGGTTAAGAGCTCTTAGCAGCTGTCCTGAGAGTTCAGCGCTCGGAGGAAAATGTTTGTGCATGCATTTGGCAGAGAGGCTCCGCGCCACCCGCTTTTTGTGATTTTCATCACTTAACCTTAATGCCAGAGTTCAATCACACAGCCTCTGGGCTGCTCAAAGGCCTGACAAAGATTAAAGAAGAGATGAGGTGAAGCGCAGAGAAAAAGAGTGAGTGATTGACGGCAAGAAATCCTCAAGAGAAAGAAAGAAAAAATAAAACAAAAGATGCAAATAAAGGGGGAAAGTGACGCTGTGTGTGTGTCTGCGTGTGTGTGTGTGGGTGTACGTGCGTTAGCGTGCGTGTGTGCGTGCGTGCGTGCGTGAGCGCTCGCTTATACCAGTGGTAATATTCACAAAGCTTGTCGTCATGTATTGGCTCAGCACACTGCAGGGCACTGAGGCAGTTAAGTAACACCGGGCCGGAGCACAGTACATGTAGCTGCTCTGCTCTTTGTGTTTCTGCTACCACTGTTTCTTAGTTGTGGTAAGACAGATAACGTTACATAATGCATTCGCTCTGTACTTTGTTTTTGTACTTTATTTATTTCCTCTTATTTTGTATTAATATAAGTTAAACAATGTTATGATGAATATTCTATATGTTCTATATAAACATTAAGAATCTTAGAGGTGTATCCATCACACTGTATATGGACGTTTTTGTATATATTTGAAAAGCTGTTAAAGTGAGTCTGCTGCAGTATGTAGGCCACTTTTCACACTGATGTTTGTTGTGTGTTCTGGTAAGTTTGGTTTTAATGCTATAAAAACTGAGTAAAGCATAATGATCGACAGCCGAGACTGACTCTCGATTGGTTAATTGGTTATCCATGGGACCTCCCTACCATGTCCCCCTCCCCCACTAACTACTGCGTAGACCTTGGCTCCACATGTGGAAGATGGCGGCATTTTCATCTGTTGTAGCTCTACTTTGTGTCTCGTGGTAATTAGCAAATATTTGCATGATAAATGCAACATTTCAGCAGCTATTAATTGGAATTGTGAGCATTGGACTTGAACATATTTATTTTAATACATGATCTTCGCTCAACATAACCTCTTTACACCTGGTAACAAAATGTGGTCTGTGATATGAATGTGTTAAACTGACAAATACACCAGCAATATGCCTGTCGGCTGCCTCGGATTATTTTATTTTTTAGGTTTTCTTGTCTCCAGTCTGTGCTCAGATCTCATTTTTCATGGGCACTGTGCAAAGCTGGTGAGTAGGAGGGAACTGGGAAGGCAGCCCCTCCATTTCCAGTAAAACCAAACACTGGAGGGTCAGCACAAGTGACGTTACTGCATCTTCTGTTCCTACTCTTCTTACTTTAACCTGCCAGAGAGACATATTCCACTGCTCTCCTCTGGCAGGCCGCTACAGAGCAGCCATACAGTCGTCCTGCCTGCAGCTCTGCAGTTTTCTACCCCTCACCAGGATGTTTTCTGACTGTGAACATATTGTACAGATTGTATTCACACTCGACTGACTCTGTTTATGCAGTTTTCCTAAACCTGAACATTTTGATATCAGCTGACTCTGGAGAGCAGCCAGGGTCCCTGCATGCAGACCACATTTTTGGATATTAACACTCTTTTTTTCCTTTTTTAGGTCAAAGCCCAAACCCTGTTTGTGACCCATTACCCCCCTCTATGTGAGCTGGAGCAGGCGTATCCTCGACATGTGGCTAACTACCATATGGCTTTCCTCCTCAATGACCCCGATATTGCTACTGACACTGATGGTATGTGTGTATTTTTGTGCATGTAACTGAAATGCTTTCAGTGTTTTATGGTGGAAATTATGGGTTTGACTGTAATGCAGTTGGATTCCTGGCCCTTGGCTGAGATTTTAAGGTTTATACATGTGCATTTTCTTACAGACGATGAGGTTCAGCCAGAGTTCATCACCTTCCTCTACCAGCTAACTGAAGGTGCTGCAGGGCGCAGCTACGGCCTGAATGTCGCCCGTCTGGCCGACATTCCAGATTCTATACTACACACTGCTGCTCGTAAAGCCAGGGAGATGGAGAACGTGGTTAACGCCAGGAGGTACAGCGAACCCACATATACCAATCTGTAAAGGGTTGCTCCGCTTTACACAACAAGATCTGTTTTTGAGGCACATGGGGCACAGCTCAGCCAGAGAAAGCATTAGTGTCATATGATGATTTTTTTTAAAGTCAGCTCATGCCATCTCAGTTTCGGCTTCTGGAATAAATACATTATAATGGAGAGTCTGTAATTCAAACTGGATGTTTCAAAAAATGCGTTTGTTTGAGTCCAACGCCAGGGGTTGTGTCAGTGGGGGGTGTTCCCTCAGTTACAGATGAGACAATGAAGTCCTGTATTTTAAGGCTTGACACCACAAAAATGCAAAAAGATTCATAATATACTCTACTACAAGAATTCACACCTCTGGAAACAGCATCAGTAGTTATTCAATCTTCGTCTTGACAGTCATAAGTCCGCCATCATGTTTGATTACAAAGTAGTGCAAGTAGTGTTTTGCCAGATGACATCACGCACCACGTTGGCGGCAAGAGACAATTTTTTTTAAATTTTATCCAGAGCAACTTGTGTTATGATATTCTTACTATTATGGGATATTAAAGAAGTAATGTTGGGTTATCTCTACTTCTACCGCTTTATTTTTATGTTTTTAATCGGTCTTTCTCAAGTCCCCCAACTTTATTGAAGTGAAATACAAATTTGCTTAGCGTAGCATTTAAACCCTACAACAGATCATCAAATATCCTACTCTTGTGTTTTTGGAGAGTTTCTCTAATATTATTAAGCACAAATGGAGCCTGGTGGATGAAAACTTGGAGTTAAAGCTCCAGCGACATTAAATTAATGTTTATTTAGAATTTAACTCTCAAATGAACTTGATTTCATACTTGTGCTGACACATCTGAACAAGAAAATGTACCAGAAGTCACAGAAAATCCGACGGAATACAGCTCAACAGAGCAGCTCGGAGTTTGTCACCTGATGGACTTTGCACAGAGGAGAGAGAGCGACAGAGAGATCAAGTGAGCGACAGGCAGGTTTGTGACAGGAAGTCTTCTGGTCTGAAAGGTCTAATTTAAGTTTACATGTTCTCCAAGAATTCTCATGATGTCTTAATTGGATGTTCAGTCAACTACAGGGAAATATAGCGTATGATTCCGCTAATACGTCCTTTTAATTTGTAGCGTAGTTTTTCTATAGCAGAGATGCGATTTTGTATTTTTGAACTGATGCTCACATTACAGTGCATTGCAATAAACCAAAAAACCGTCACCAAATGTGCGCGCAAAAATATATTTAGAGGAAAATAAATATTGGAAACATTATATATAAAAGTGAACATACAAATACAACATACAGTGTAACTTATTGTTGATGATAAATCTGACTGATTGCATTGCCTGTAAATTGAAACTACAGAATTCATACAAATTGTCCCTGGGATATTTTCTTTCTATAATAGTAAACCTTGCTCTGCAGGCACATGTTGAGTGAGTTAGGAAGCTGGAATACGACTAATTCTGAGTCCTTCACAGTCAAAGTGTCAGCACATTGAACTTTCTCTAAATACACACTTCTGTGTCTATACATTTGTACATGGCATTGCCACTTGGTAACAGACAGCCTGCTGGGAGTGCCGCTCTCACTCCCTCAGTAATCCTCACCATATGAAATACAGTATCTGTCAATACACACACACACACACATAGCCATACCGCTCTGTCAGAGTAATCCTCACTATATGAAATGTTTGCCCGTTGTTGGAGTGAAGCTGCGCTGAGTACACAATAATCGTACACAGAGGAGTTGTGCTTCTGGTCGGAGGTTAAGAACAGGGATTTTATTGCTCCCTCACACAGCTGTGTGTGAGACGTGTTTAGACTCACATAGGCGCCTGTGTGAGGATCAAGACTTGTTTTGTACAAAGAACTTTGTTTAAGCAACGTCTCTGTGTCTTTCCCTCCATCTCTCTAGGAGCAAAGTGAAACTTCTGTTGGATCTTTGGAGCATCGCAGACAAATCCTCCCTCCTGGAGTGGCAGCGGTCAAACTGACAAAGCTGCAGCAGACGTCAACACATGAAGAGGAGAGAACTTGGCTGTCTGTGAATCAACATGATGAAAGATGATTACACATGATGATTACAAAGCCTGTTTCACAGAAGGCTTGGTGCTGAAGGAGAAAAGCAGTTGTATGATAAGGATTTTTATCTATCTCAGGTTCTCACCATCATCTGTACTGTAACTGAATTGTCTAAACAGGCTGATGTAGATTTTTACCAACCAGACGATATGTGACTTCATGTGTTTGGTGGTTGAGTAAAGAAAACTTAAATCTTTGATTGTCAGAGATTGTTGTTTTAATATTTCACCTCCAAAACCTTTTTCCAAGTCATGTTGGATATTTTTAAAAAGCAACAAAACAAACAAAAGAGGAAAAACGAACCAGAGGTGTCATCTGTTTTTAATCCCACACATTCTTCATCCTTGTCCACATGGGTTGCCTACATCACCCACAATGCAACTCAAGCACAGACAGTTGAGTTTCAGGTATGTTATGCAAGTAGAGGCCACGGTTAAAGTCCAGGAGCAGCCATCCTGCAGATTTGCTTTTCCTAGTGAAGTGAATGTTTTATCCTCTCCCTCGCTCACACAGGTCGGAGCTAAACGAGAGGCGAAGGGTTGACACTGCCACATTCAGGTATGTGTGACCGTCCCCAGATGAGCGGTGGGCTTCACAGGCCGGATGAGCTCATGTTTTTAAACCTGCTTAGCCTCAGATTTATTCTGCCATCTTTAGACTCTTCATCCCCCTATGTCTGCTCTTGAGCCAGTTTATTCGACTTGAGGCAGCTTCCCCCCCAGAGCCCAAACGACCTTTAAACAGACTTTAATGTGAGATAAAATAAAAAGAGTAGAAAGTGTGAAGGAGATAGATTTTAACATACAGGTTTTTTAAATGTTTAGCCTCACTGGGGTTTGTCTTATTGTTCTTTACCTATTATTGTTCTTTACCTATTATTAATGTATTCATGTGCGCTCTGAATCCTACGCTATTAATAATGCAGAAACAAATCACAACATTTGACTCGACCTCACATCTCCATCTCTCTCACCCACTCATGCTCCGCCTTTAATTCCGCCAACTCCAAGATCAGCTCCCATCACCAGAGAGAGAAAGAGAGAGAGACACTGTGTGAGAGTGTGAGTGTGTTAGGGAGAGAGAGAGAGAGCGATCGAACCACTGACACATAGCTTTAAAGGGTCTGCGCTCCTGTCAGTGTTTGTCCACTTGAGGGTTCGTCCCTCTGTGAACGACCTCTCCGCTTCTCACTCGTTCATGTGTCCGACCATCAGAATGGATTAATTCTAACGCTCGTGGGACTCTGACATCTTCATCCTGCTATGAGTTCCTCTGCGGAGACGCTTCCGTCAGCGGGGCAACTTTTCCGTGCGCAACGGCGCAGCTGAGCCGCGCGTCCCTCGGTGGGACAGTTAACACGCAACACCACGGACATGGACTCGCGGTGAAAACTGCGGACTTGTCCCACTTTACTCTCTCCCCCCCCAAAACCGGTCGTCGAGATGCAGAAGAGCGTGCGCTACAACGAGGGACACGCGCTGTTTCTGTCGGTGGTCGCGCGTAAAGAGGGCACCAAGCGCGGGTACCTGAGCAAGAAGACGGCGGAGAACAGCCGCTGGCACGAGAAGTTCTTCGCCTTGTACCAGAATATACTGTTCTACTTCGAGAACGAGCAGAGCGCGAGACCTGCAGGGATTTACCTGTTGGAAGGATGCACCTGCGAGCGCGCGCCGGCGCCCAAGATGTCCACCACGGTGAGAGAAGCTCTGGAGAAACAGGTGAGAGAGAGAGAGAGCGCTAAACCCCAGCAGTCAGTGGACTCGTCTCCACATCTCATCACATCTGTCTGTACAACTTCACATGACATGAGTGTGAGGAACAAACTGATGCATGGCAACAGACAACACAATACCTCAGAGGTAACCTGCTGTGGTTTTCACATAAACTCTATTCACCAATTCTGTACTTTAAAAATAACAAGAATCAACAACAAGAATATACATGATCAGAAAGTTTCCTCAAAATCAAACTGACTCTTTTGTTGGCTACTATGCAGCACAAAGTGTCTGGCTCTCAGCTCTCTACAGAAAGCCCTGCAGCATTAAGAGCTCCAGTGCATCCTCCCTGAGCAGGTGACCATCCTCCAAGGATTCAGATGCAAATGGGAGTAGGCTGGTAGCAGAGAACATGCAGGAGCAGTTACAGCACAACACAGCTCCTGCATTTCTTTTTCTGATCCACAAATAAGCTCCTTACCTGTGAGCAAACTGTGAAAATATATTTGCTTTCTGTTGCTGGCCAGTTACTACAGAATATTCCTCATTTCTGAGTTTGAACCTGCAAATATGTTGCATTTTCATGATGCAAATACGATTATTCTAAGCAGCAATTTCTTTTTAGCTCAATGTCAAATTTATTACAAGTCAGACGGTGGGAGGCTCAATGCAGCAACAGGTTCCTGTATTTAACCCTATGAATGCTACAAAGTAAGAAAACACTTTTTCCTCCTGGATGCATTTTATATTGAATGAAATATTTATTCCCAGGATGCCACGTTTTATATTCCCTAACATTACATCATATAGAAATATTCTAGATGCTTCATTCACTGCAGTGTGGCACATTTAGTGTTTTCAGAAACCTGTTGTCTGAACTGTACTATGGAAAGAATTAGTATTAGTTGACCCTCTCTTCAATGCTGCTGGTCTGTAAAAAGGTTCTGGCATTTTGTACCTGTAGAGCTGTGATGTGTGCAGTAAAATATTTTGGTGAAACATGTCAGTGGCTGTGCTCCTTGCAGTTGCCTCAGTATTGTTGCTCCGACAGGTAGGAAGAGCTTGTTGCTAGGAAACATTTGATTTACCGTTTGCACAAATAATTGTGCTTTTCATAAAAAAAACCCTAAAAATGAATGCATATTTAATGGTCACAAATCACATCAATGAGGTTTCATCACTCGTAGAATCGGTCTTTGTGAATATATTCATGAGTTGTATTCTAATGTAACAGAGAATACCCACTGATTTCTGCTCAGTTGGCCTCGGGAACTGTGAGCATGTGTGTGCACAGGCATCGTGCCCGTTGAAATACACTGGGAGGAATGTGAAGAGGAAAGAGAATTGACCTGTCACAGTTTAAGAAAGTATTGAGGAGACGTTGAGTGGATGCAATCACATGGAAGTTTGAAGAGTGGTTAAAAATGGCTGCCAATCACCATCAAACGGAAAAATGAATCTCCAAAGATGTTCTTGCACAGTGGACCCGTCTCTTTAAATGTGTAGAAAAGACAACTCATTCCAGATGTCTGCAGATGGAGGAGCCACTAAGTGTGGTTTTAATCAAGCAACACATGAAGAGTTTGTCTTTATTTCTCCAATGGGTTTGTTATGAATGATCATGAAAGGATAAAATAATTCTCTTTTCGAGGGGAAAAAAAACTACACGTGGCTCCGACCGCTGACGTGGATGTGAGCGTAGAACCTGCCTCTCCTGATGTTTCCCAGCTCGTCCTTCATGATCTCATTTTATCCTCTTTCTACGCTGTCTCACTCTCACTCTACAGCTGTGATGTTTAATTAGGGCTATTTCCAATCTGCCTGCGGCTGAAACTCTATTACTACATATGCAAACGGGGAGGAAACCAAATAACGGTGGCATTTTGTTGGGCTTATGAGGTGCGTGTGTGTGTGTGTTTGATAATCAAATGTCAGTCAGGAAGAATCTAGATCTTCTAGACAAAGGCCTCCATCTCTCCATCAGTCGCTCTTCCTCTTCACTGTTTCGCTGCACAGTCAAGTGAGGCTGCCAGCAACCCGCAGTATCACACCCCCACAGTGAACCACAATGCGACCACACAAATAACACACAGCCACCGCCGCCCGCTCACTCCCTCTGTCTCACTCTCAGATAGACACAAGCCCTTCAAATAATTTAGGAGAGTGTTCACACTGGCCTGAATGGTTTCCACAGCGACTAGACGTGCACTGCTGATGGGAACACGTGTGTGTAAATGGCAAAAATAATTGTCAAATTATCCCTCCTCCCGTCGCCAGGTGTCGGGTCGGTTATTGATCCCAGAGAGAGTTCATGAGAGGCCATGAACAAGTGGAGACGCTACCAACTCTCTGTTTCCAGAATGCCACTCCAATGTCACAATTTGCTGAGAGATTCAAAGGCCAGGTGTTTGTTTCTCTAAAGGCTGTTTGTCGTGTTGTAATAAAAAGCAAATCAATATCTCAAAGGTTTATTTCTTCATTTTTCCCGACACGTTTAGAAAACAAAGTTTTTGTCAGCTTTTGGTCAGTTCAGTTAGATATTTGTCTTCCCCTGATTTCCCTAGATTGAGTATTAAACACAAAAAGCTGATGACAGCTTGACATCATGAACTGGTGATGAAACTAATGTTTCAGTCTGAGGAACAGGTTCGGTACGACGGCTCTGAGGTGCAAAGCACAATTTTGCAGACTGAGATTAAGGTAACTGGAGACTCTGAATGTGCGTGTGATTGGTTGTTTGTCTCTGTAAGTCGGCCCTGCGATGCACTGGCGGTGTGTCCAGGTTGTACCCGCCTCTTGCTCATTGTCAACTGGGACTGGCAACCTGGATTAGCACCAAAACTCAATGGGTTCCTTCCTGACCAACACCACATCCTTCCACTAAGTTTCCTGCTATCACTCTTGTAGGTTTTGTGTTATCTTCCTAACAAACAATCGAACAGGAGTGAAAAAAATAACCTTCTTGGAAGAGGCGCCCATAAGACTAACTACCTGCTGATTTGTTAATGTTTTGGACAAATGTGGAGATTAATGATTTGTGTTCATGCTGCTGATACATCAAGTAAACTGCTAATATCTACCTTTAAATAGCTTCAGTGTTGCTGTCCAAAGCATCCAGATCACTGCAGCAAAACCTTTGATCCAATCTTCGGGTTTGAGCAGGGAGGCAGTTCATGTGTAAAATTTTTAAAACCAGCCTTTTGTATCTATTGAAGAGGAACCATGTTCATGTTTCCACAACTAATGTCTCATCACTGTCACCAAGGATGCTTTAAAAGGGACGGACAAATTGTCTGTAAAGGGGGTTAGAATCTGTGACGTCTTCTTTATCCATGTGTGAGGCTCGTGGCTGTAGTGCAGTGAAAGAGACAGTTTCATTAGAACCTTGGAGCAGGTTGGTTCAGTGTCGTTGGATGTGGCTGCACCGGCTTTAATAAAGTGTGTTTTCATTGAGCTGGAGACGCACAGGGTTGTTTTCAAAG